ATTACTCTTTGGTTAAAATCCATCATTTAGATATAGGAAATGTTGCAGCTGACAAATACTGTGAGTCAGGTGACTGAATCTGGTCATATTAATTACATTTTTATAAACACTTATTGCCCATCTGTTTGATTTAAGAGAGGGAATACAAAAGTTAAGGAAAGGAAAATAGCTAAGATACAGAGCACTAAAACATCATAAGAGAGTTGCAAATCTGGGTCTTTATGAGCTTGAATTTCAATAGTGCATTGAATAAAATGGGCTTTTCAGCAGGTTTGGAAGACTGAAAGTCTTGAAAATAAACTTTGAGTGAAATTTTTCAAGAAAAAGGAAGGTGAGCGAAAGTGCTATAATGGGAAAAGACTGTTTAGAGTGTATTTGATAGTGTTGTAGGATTTTCAAATAAATTATAAGTTGCACCACTGAATTTGAATTTTAGAGAAACAACAAATAACTTTTGCAATATCTAGGATATATTTGAGTTTGATATTCCTTAAATGTATTCAGAGTAGTAAGTATAGGGTCTTGGGTTCAAGATATAGGATTAAAAATAATTTTATGGGGGCATTGGAGCTTTATTTTTTTTTAAGTTTTTTTGAGACAGGGTCTCACTAGGTAGTTCAGGCTGGCCTTGAATTCACTATGTGACCAGGCTGACCTGAAAATGTACAATCCTCCTGCCTTCGTCTCTGGAATGCTAGCATTACAGGTGTATACCTGCACCACTACACCTGGTTGGAGCTTTACTTTTTAACTGTGAGAAGCAATGTGATCTGGAGTGTTCTGGTAAGAACGAGATGACAATGGTAAGCAAGAAAAAGTTGAGGAAAATTGACCAGGCAATGACAGTAAAATGTTAATTTATGTGGAAGAAATGGTTTAGAGTTGGAGAAGACAGTTGAGGTAGAGCAGATAAAGGCAACAGATTCAGTCTCAGGGACAAAAGAGATGTGGAGTCAAAGACAAGAGGAAACCACACTGCTTGCAGCTTTACCTCTTGAAGTGATGCATTTTGCTACAGCAGATCTGGCTCAAGAGCAGGGTGTGGAAGAAACAGTTTCTCCCTTGGGCTGTACACCTGTTGCACAGTAGTCTGGTTGCTCCGAAGGACCTGTCCCCCGCCTGACACCATTTTGTTATTTTAGAGTGTTTGTGGTTCTATATGATGCACATTAGATGTAAAATCTGATTTCATATGATTCACAAAAACAGAAAATGATAAACTCTCTTCATATGATTTGTATACATTAAGTTGTAGAGTCTCATGTTGAATTAGCATGTAGAAAATTGATTTAGTGTAATAATATGGTCTTATGGTTGATTATGAAATGCCTTGTCAAAGGGAATTTAGGGATACATTCAGAAAAGCTCTGATCTTGTCATTGCTAAAAATTAATGTAGGACCTCACTCACAGCGACTACTAGCTGGACTTATAGAAAAGGATAAGGATATTATTTTCATTCTCTTAATTAGTCATGTCAAAAATAAGTACTGGACAGCTATAAAGATGCCAATGTCTATGTTACATGGTAGGGATTTTCTATACGCATGCTTAGGAAGTGATAAACGATACCTATTCTTTAAAAGGCTCTGCCTTAGTCACTTTACCATCAGTGGGCAAAATATTCAAAACCCATAACTTAAAAAGGGATTTATTTTGCTCACAGTTTTAGGATTTCAAGCCCTGGTTGGCTCCCACGAAAGAAAGCTGCTCATATCATGACAGCCAGGAATCACAGCAAACAGAGGAGCCAGAGATAATAATGTACCTGTCCAGGTTACAGTCCCAGAGGAACATCCTACTGGCCAGGCTCTGCCTCCTACCAGTGCAGTCAGCTGTTAGCTTATCAGTGAATTAATTTGCTGCGAAGTACAGCAGCAGTCTCATGACCCAATTAACTTCCAAAAGCCCCATCTCTGAACATATGAGGCTTTTGGGGCCATTTTAGTTCTAAACTATAACAGGCTCTTTAAAAAAAGGCACATATTTTCATTTTTACAACTAGGAAATGTTTCATCAGATGAATTAAAATGAACACATTTTAGTATACAGGGTGACAAAGTCAGTGGAATTTGGGTTTAGAAGGCAGTTTGCGGTAATTCTACCCAATCCTTCCCTTGAAGGTTAGGGACTGAAGTCCAAGAAGATAAAAATAGCTGGCTGTAGTGCAGCCACTGGTTGGTTAGGCCACAAGTTTCATGGCTCTCAGCTCCAGGGCCTTTCCATTCTGCCACAACGACAAATTTCTGCCAAGCTCCAGTAATTATTCCCAGGACCACAATAATGAATGAGTGCATACACTAGGCATTTAGTGAGTGTTTTTTTAATTGGACAACTGTATCTCAGTCGTAATCACTGATACCCTTGTGAGTTAGGGAACAATCCTCAAGATACAGCTTTTCCAATCCCTAGTCAAGGACATATAAAGCACAATTACTTTAGAAAAATATAATTGAAGGCTTAGAATGTCTTCTACTACTAATTATTTCATAAGACTTTCTCAATAATGAATTATAGGCTACTAATCTCTTATTGCACTGATAAAACGAAGGCTTAGAAAAATGTCATACTTTGTTTAAAGTAAAGCGGTCTGGAAATTGTGATGTTGAAGCCCAACCTTGGCCTTCTGCTCCCAAATGTCATACTTGCTTTGCTATACTTAATGGTCTTTCCATGATTGTGGTAGCCTCTAAGGAAAAGAAAACCAAACCTCTGACGGAAGAGGCTATGGGAAGACAGAAAATGCAGAAGGAAACATATCAGAGCTGATGTGAAGTATCTATAGAGAGAACTAGTGTTATGAAGGGATCAAAGCCCAGATGATTTTCTGTTTATTCTGACTTTGTGCTTCTCATTGGGTAATCATTGTCTGTTTGCTGGCTATAAGCTAAAAAGACCTAGCGTGGCTCTCAAGAGGAGAAAGCAGTGTTGTACAAAATCTGGAAGCTGAAAGGAAATGGAGTGGGGAAAGCATCTGTATGAGAATCGGGTACTAAAATTTTAGTCTCAATTCTGTCATTTTTTTTATTGTGCTGTGATATAAGGCTCTCTACCCTTTTTGTGTCAGTTTTCTAAGTTTTCGAAAGAGGCATTTTCAGCTGCATGCATGTGTTTTTCCTCTGTACCATTCCCATTGGTAGAGGTTGTCAGTAATTTGGAAACTGACTGAAGAGAAACATATAAACTGACAATTTGACCAGCATTCTTGCAAGAAATATGATTATCTTTTATTCAACAGAAAATCTTCTATATATTCTTGACTAATCAGTGGCTTATGAAGTTGAGTCATAGAATTACTTTTCCATGATACTTATTGAAATGAGTTGGGAAGGTAAAAAAATAGTTCACTTCCAGGGGCTGAACCATTGCTGCTGATCAATCACTGACTCAGATTAGTAGGTTTTGCCTGTAGTTCTTATCAGTAGGCTCAAAGGAATTGTTACTTTATGTCACCATTTTTCCAAGATACTTTCAGCTCAGAGATTTTTGGAGTTGAAATCTCTTGAAATACTAAAAATATAAAAATTTCAAAGATCATTTTGTCAAGATCAACTGATGCCGCTTCACTGTCTAAATGAAGAACAAAGTTATCAACTAACTTATCAGCTATATTTAGACTGAAACTCTTATCTCAATGTATTTTTCATATCCATATTATTTTGGGATATTGGTGAACCTACAGACATTACATATTGTAGAATTCTGACCTGTAACTAGAGCTTTAGCTTGGTGGTTGTGGTACATGGGAAGATTTTAGAGAATTTATGAATCTGGGTATACGTTATAACTTTCATCTGTCTCTCAAAAGGATCACAAAGGTGGCACCAAAGTTTAAAGTCCCACAAATCTACATATCCCAGAACAGTTCACAATGTCTATATTTCTTTGATAAAATGAGAAGCTGATTTTAAAACACAGCTTTGAAACTTTTATAAACCCTTAAGCACAAGTAGATTTATAATAGACCTCCAGAAATATATGATACCTTCTCTTTGCCACTTTTTTCCTAATTACTAAACAAAATAGAAAAAAGCACTATGATACAAAACATTGCTAGTATAAATTAAAGATAACCTAAGTAACTCATGTTAATGGATGAGAAGACTAGATAATTTTATGATTTCAGTTCTTACCAACTGATCTATAAATTCAATATATTTCAATTATAACCCTAGCAGCCTTTTTTTTCTGGTAGAGGTTGAGAAGTTAATTCTAAAAGATATAAGGAGAGCAAAGGACCTTGAATATTTCCAAACAAGTTTTGGAAAATAAACACAACGTTAGTGGACATACACTCCTTGACTTTGTGACTTGCCACTGAAGAACCAAAATTACAATACAGTTGCACTGCATAAAGATACATAATAGGACAATGAAGCAGAATAGAATTTTTGAAATGCACCTACACAGATACCATCAAAGCCACCAACACAATCCAGTGACAAAAGAAAACTGCAATAAATGATGCCCAAGTAACTGGATAGTCATGAGAAAATATTGCACCTCTACAAATTACAAAAATCAATTTAATGTGGACCTAGTTCTCAATACAAAAGCTAAAATATAAAAATATTAGATTTAAAAATAAAAACACTGTGAATCTTCTCAAAGGTGCCACAAAATATTTTCTGGTTTCTTTGAAGTAGGTACACTCAACATACAGAGCACATTTCACATCATTCTGGGTGGCTCTGAGAAAAATAAGCAATGAACTGAACATGTTATAACTCCTAGGACAAGCTAGATATGAATTCTGTCCAGGAAGGACAAATTTTCTTATTACTTTATAATTTGATGATCAGTACAGAACGTTTACTTGCACTGATGGACAAATGCAGACTAGACTGAGTTTAAATGATTCCAAAAGGGATTTTCTAGTCCCTAACTCATATGCAAATGAGAGCATTTCCTTCTTGCTTCTCTCCCCGCCCTACCCACTTCCAAAAGTAGGAATTGAAACAACAGCAACGACATTAAAACATGCAATGCAGAGTCATTTACCGGAGTCCATAGAGAACTGTTCCATCAGGGTGAAGTCGGATCATTCGATTTTTCACTGTGACCCCATGCACAAACGATTTCTTGTCATTCAGAAAATAGGTGTCCGGGACCCAGAGTTGGTCAGCTACTCTGTTGTCTAAGGTGAGGTTTAGTGGGATTCCAGAATAAGAAAGTCTTTTGTCTTTCCAAGACTGCTGGAAATACATGGTGAGTGTATAGTCCTATGAAATAAAGGAAGCCAGAAAAGAATTTCAGTATCAACATTATCTAAGGCCTTTTGTTAAGAACCCACTAGCATGTGGCATTATGCATACCTAGAGACCTGCCCTCCTGATGTCCCTGAGCAATATATATATTCGAATATATTGAAATTTGTACCTCCAAATATAGGGAAACCAATGGAGAGCAATACTTGAGCATATACACAAGCACTTCCACTAATATAAAGAAAATGCATGCAGTTGAACTGTAAGGCTGGAAGCTAAGATAATGATATCATAGGAAAGGTTCTAAAGAGATCCACGTTTACAAAAATTCACTACTGGATATTATAATTATAGTTTTGTCTTGGTGTGGAACATTTGATAAGCAATACTAACAATAGATGCCTTTAAAAAGAGAGGTTGGTTTTTAAACATCAAATGCTTTTTGAATGAATACAGCAATGTTCAACTTAGAAAGGTTATCAGTATTATCTAGATCATTTCAGTGAACTACAAGTTGTCTCTAGGTTCTCAAAAGTAGATAAAGCTCATGTAGGTGGAAAGGCTTATTTAGCTTGAACAATGACATCAATGACAGAAATGTTCAACAGTTTATCTAAGTTGTTCCTACTTTGTTTAAGGAACTGGCTTAAATTCAGAATTAGATCCATACTTTTTTTTGTTGTTGTTTGTTTGTTTTTGTTGTTTTTTTTTGGTTTTTCTCTGGTACCAGGAACTGAACTCACGACCTTGCACTTGCCAGGCAGGCGCTTTGCCGCTGAGCTAAATCCCCAGCCCCTTGAGAGTTTTTCCTTACCATCTGTAGAAGTTTACAAGGAGGACTTTCCCCTGAACTTTTCATTCTAACCAGGTTTTTCCTGGCAGTGAGCGACAGGAAGATTTAGGTTCAATAAATGGGTTAAGTTACAACGATGAGATAACAATTATTTTCTCAGTGTTTGTCTGTTTTTAAAGAACTGAGTTAATTCAGAGCGTAACTACCCATTTAAGGAAAATAAACTGGTAGCAATAAAACCATAAAGTCCTTCAGATATGGATCCCAATGTAATTGAAACAAAAGCTTCTTTTTTTCTATTAAAGGACACATTTGTCAGTAGTAACTTTATGAATGCTTTAGCAACTAATAAGAAAATATTGTATAACTCCTGCACAACATCTGTGCACTCACACTGGGATATAAATCACTAGGTGAGTATCACTGATTCAGATTATGCTTTATACTGGGGTAAACTGTACCCCATTAGATGCCTCAATGAATATTCACACAGATCTGAAAAATCCTAGACATAAGACAGTATTCATTGTGGATAATGGATTCTAGTCCTTTTAAATATTTTAAGCAATAATATTTATACTATTCATTGAGAAAATGCCTTTCAATAATTGAAAGGTGTTATTTCTTGTTCAATGGCAAGTATATTCACTCTGGACTATGAATTATACAAGATTTCCTAAAAAAACTAAAATCTTGTTCTTACTTTCAAGCATATGAAAGTCATAGATAAAATAAATATATGAATATATATACTCATGCATATCTATGCACACCTATTCACCTATGTATCAAGGAAGAGACAGAAAGAGAGAGAGCCCCACAATCTTATATGTATCCTCTTTTAATTGCTGCTATTTCATTTTCATCCTCTTTAAATTCTTAGCATCATACTTTTTGTGAAGGAAAAAGAATACACTCCTAAATTCTAACACACCTTGGTTCTAAGCTCTACCACAAGTAGACCGTACAGCATAGTTACCATATGTAAGTAGAGGCAACTAACATAACCCCTTGTATTATAGATACCTCATTTCTGAAATAAAAAAGAGAACAATACTAGTTTATTGTGTGTCAATGGAAAAAATTAAAACTAAGTTACTTTAAGAACTCATGATCTGCTAAAAATAATTTTCAAAATTGTTAATGCTATATAAAGATTAATATTACACTTCCAAATATTTGGAGAATACATATTAGTTTTTATGATAGTTGCTATTTTAATCAGATGTTTATGAAAGAATTTGTAAGCAGATGGACTCTGTCTGTGATCACTTCTAAGCCTTTGTATTGGGTCCTTGTCTGTACTTCAGCCAATGTGAAAAGAAATTATAACTATCTAAAATCACATTAATATTATCTTTGTCATGGAAATTGGGTACACCAACAATGTTATAAGCATTCAAATAATCCAATGGATCTTCATCAGTATTCATATCCCCATAAGAGCTACAGAGGATATCTTTATAATGAGACCTCCTAGTAAAATTCTTACTCTACAACTACCCCAGTAAATAAAGTTTAATGTGTGTGGAAGGGATATTAACATAGGCACAAAAGAGGATTATCTTGAATATTGCTAAGAGAGTAGATGTGAAATGTTCTCACTGCACAAAAAATAAAAATAAGTGTGTGAAACAATATGTAGATGAAATAGCTCAATTTAGCCATTACACAATATATACTTACTTCAAAACTTCATGGTATATATGATAATATGCTTCATTTGTCAGTTAGAATCATGCAACATAATACTGTAATAATAAATGCTGTAACTAAAGCATAGTTTGTAACAAGTAAACAATGGGGAATGGAAAAAACACAAACGTGAGATAATTTAACCATGCATAAAGTTTTGTAGGGGTTTGTGTGTGTGTGTGTGAGTGCACACATGTAGAACCTTTTCCTCTTCCCTCTTTGGGAACTGTTGTTTCCAAAACCTATAAGTATATGGTAAAATTTACAACATGTACAACTTATCATGTTTTCAATAAATATTGAATAGCAATTATATCATCATTCTAAACTAAAGTAGTAATTTGAACCCATTTTTCAGTAAAAAGTAATCCAGTAAGCAATGTACATACTAGTATATTCCTTCTAGAAGCGAGTGATATGAGACAGACACCCTTTAAACCTGTACTTCTTATGCATTTCTAGAAGCAATCACCTAATCTAGAACCTGACTCTATAATAAATGGAAATATGGACATACAAGATTTGTAACACTAATAAAATTGTCTGGAAGATGACAATATTATAGCAAAAATAAAGACTATTATAGAAAGACCTAAACTGAAGTGATAACTGCCTTCATTTCTATATATAGTATCCAACACGTGAGAGTAACATCTCCTGGGATGTGCTCCATGTCCTGATTCTCACTGCCTCTCATATTTACTACCACCTTTTTCCTCACGCCAACTTTTTGACATAGGCTAATACTCTAGGAGAGTGAACTTATGATTTACGTGTCAGAGAATCTATTTCCTGTATTTTAAACAAATTATTCTTCCTATTTTTGAATAAAAATTTTAATAGTGACACCTGAATATAATACAGCCTATGGTTTGATTGTGGCGTATCGTCTTTTAAGTGGAAAAGAAAGGCTTAACGTTACATTTATTTCTATGATGCAAAGTAGAAGCGCTTTAAAGAGGATAGAAATGTTTTTGAATGGAAATGTTGACTCTTTAGCCAAAAACAGTGAAAGCAATTTTCTTCAGGGTATACACCTAGAATAGTGCAAGCATTCGACCAGCTTTCTCAAGTGTGCAAGCTACTCCTTGAGAAGAAATGTGACACTTGAGAGACTATGGGCCATGGGGGATTCTCTGACAAGGAGGCAAATTAATGGGATTAGTGGGTGTGAGATTTGATAATGAAATTGGTCAGGCTAATTCAGGCGTGTAAGAATTTGTTGCATTGAGGAAAGGCAAGTGGGAGAATACCAAGTTAGTGGTACCCAATCACAGTCTGAAAGGACTTTCTTTTAAAATCTAAATGTGAGTAAAAGTTCAAGAATGCAATCATATTAAGTAAATATTATTCATTTGCAATATAAAGATGGCAATCACTTCAGATTGCTAGTTTTAGTCAGGGAATTTTACCTTCCAGAGTACAGTTAGCAGTGTCTGAAGACAGTTCCGGTTGTCATCACTGAAGCAGTGACATCACGCACTGGCATCTGTGAGTAGAACCAGGGATGTTCCTGAGTATATTAGAGTGTGCAGCGCAGTCCGCTCAGCAAAGAACTAGCTGGTTCAGAAGCCCTACTGGAGAAACACTGCCTCCTTGTCAAAGGCAAGTTTGAGAAATCCCGGTTTCAACAAAACATCCTTCCTTTTAATATCAGTATAACATTACAAGATCTCTTGCTGTGATATATGATGAAATGTGTTTATTCTGAGCTTTCAGCATATCCCCCAAAACTATGTGAAATATAGGGAATTCTGACAAAAGATGGTAATTGTTATTCTACTGTGATTAATTGGTTTCCATTGGAATAAGGAAAAAATACATCATTTTTCCAGAATAAGCTCAAAGAAGACTGGGAAAGTGAATCCCTTATTACTTGCCTTTGTTTTGGCACTTGTTTCAGATGATATTATCAAAGAGACAATATATTGCCTCAATATCTGTAATATCGCATCCAGCTAAAGAAAATCACATAACAATTCGAACGTTACAAGGTGTTCTCGAGAGAAAGAGAGAGAGAGAGAAAGAGAGAGAGAGAGAGTGTTCCAAGCCTTTGGCTTGCATTTATACAATATTTTATGTGTTTTAATACACATTATAAGAAGTCTCAAGTACAAATCCCTCTTCCCTATAAAATACTCATGCTATTTTAGTTGAACGTTGAAATCTGTTTTTTTCTAAAGCTAAGTTAAGTTTCCCCAAAAGGCTGATTGTAGTGTAGCTGTGCATCTTTTCCTCCCACTTCTGTAGACCCTGCCATGATGGGAAGTTTCTTGCCTCTATCCTCTGCTGATTGACCATCATATTCTGTATCCCGGGATGCCACTGCAGTTCTGTAACTCTGAGAGCAGAGAGTAGATAACTAATTCAAGAGCAATTCATATACAGGTAAGCAATTTACATGCAACATGTTCAAAACAAGCAAACAAACAGCAACAAAAAATGAGATGGACCAACTGGAGTCCTTTCAAAGGAATTTGCTACTGGGCAAGGAATATGAGACAGGAGTTATAAGCACAAATGTCAT